TTTAAGGTTTAACCTTCTTCAGGGACAAATTCTGACTGTTGGGGAACTTACTTTGCAATATAAAATTTCTTCACGCTCTGGTAGGGCTTGGATGGTTGGACTCTGTACTGCCTTGTATGCATTCAGCCCCGACCCTCTCTGATTCTCTGTTTTTAAAGTGTGTCCTTTCTCTTTGTCTGTACATGTTTAACATAACGCAATAATTTGAGGGCAAACTTAGTAGTGAGTGTGTATGATAAAATCAAAGAGAATTATGGGATGTTGACTTGAGAAAACCATGATTGATTTGATTCTAGAAAAAGGCAGTGGATAATTATGCAAATTCACCAGGAGAAGGGGGAGACAAGCTAGTGGGCCTTATTGGATGAGGGTAGGAGATAGGGTTCACCTTAAGGAGGAAGTGGTAACAGGTATTGGAAAGGCCAGCTCCAGACGTCTTACTGTGACAACACCATTTTGCAGTAGGAAGGAGGAGCTGGTCATTCCTACCACCGTCACACACTGACAAATGAGGAATTAAGACCACCTAGATTGTGAGAGCTGAATTTAGACAACTGAACAATGTCATGCAGCCCAAAAACAGCTGTTATCTTTGCCTCAAAAAAAAAAAAAAAGATCCAAAGAGAAAATCTCTAAAAGAGTATGATCTTCTATCTAAATGGAGGGAAATTTTAGAACAAAAACACTACTGTTTTGGCTCAGGATGTAAGAGTGGGGAGAGCGAGGGGACTGAGGTGATTTTGAATTTTAAAAACGCGACAGATGTGGGCCCAAATTGAGCCCATTCACCAGCACCGAGTACTATTAGAAGCCTCATTCATCAGGTAATAACTGGTGCACACCCCATCCTGGTCTTCCTATGGGCTGCTGATGAGAGAACCTAACAAAATCTGTACTTCTACAGCCGGTCAGAGTCGTTAGCTGAAACTGAATACCAAAAAAATAACAAAACGTGGAGCCAGGGAGTCATTTCCAGCTCATGGTAGCCCCATGTGTGTTGGAAACCACAAGGGTTCCCGGGGCTGTTTTCAGAAGTCGGCCATCAGGCCTTTCCTCTGAGGTGGCTCTGGGCACACTCCAGCCTGTACCTTTGGGTTTGCAGCCAAGCACATCAACCATCGGTGCCACCTTGGGACTCCCGAACCTGGGTCCACCTAGCACATGTGTTCAGGCCGTAGATGGGAATACAGACATGTTTTAACATGCTCTGTTCCCTCCATCTCCCCAGATGTCTGACACCCTAAAAGCCACCCATAGCTATGGAACCTGAGTAACATCTGATGTGTGCCATCCTCTAACCCAGCCCTAAAGACTCCTCTCAATCCTCCACCCTCACCCACCTCCAAGATGACAAAATTTCAGACTTCCCTCCTCCAAGGCAGAGGTGAGCGTTCAGGGCTGTCTCTCTGAGGCACTTCTTCCTGGTCAGACTCCCCACAGGGACTGTCTCCCCTCATTTTCGTTTTTCTAAAGGGGCCAACGCCTCTTCTAGAAAATAATAAAATGCAATGTGTGTGATTTACTTTTCTGATCTCTTTGAGAAAAGATAAATACGAAAGTGTGTTCTTCACTCTGGAACCACTCTTCTTGCATAAATACCTCATCGGGCAGCTTTCTAAGTGTTAATTTCAAACCAAGTCTCCCCAGGCACCCACGTTGGATCTGCTGGAAGACTTGTTGGGGAAATTTTAGTGAGGGTACTTTTTTCTATTTTTCTTCTGTTTTTGGAGGCATACACATTATGCATAACCAAAACAATGGCTCAATTGTGTTTAACTTTGTATTTTGATTGTTGAGGGGAAAAAAAAAAAAACCCCAAGTATCAACCTGTTTGTGGCCGTTTGTAGTGGATTCACTGCGGTATGAGGTGGTCCAGTGTCCTTAAGCCAGGGGGCAGGAGGCAGCCTCTCTCACCCCCTCCTCCAAGAGCAGTAGAGAATCGAAGCACAAGCCTATTTGTGAAAGAATATTTTGCTTAAGTGTAATTCACTTTAGTCCTGGGATTCCTTCCCAAACGTTGGGTGTTCTTTCAGCTTCCAAACTAGCCTATGTATCCATCCATTAGTCTGGCAGATCGCTCCGCACCGCTCCGGGTGTGGCATTTTTGCTTTCATTTCTCCTGGAGGGAGAAGTGGCGTCTCATGCGTCATTCCAGTATCTCACTTACTCACGTGGGGCGGGGGGAGGGGGAGACGGGGAACTATAGCAATATTCAAAGATGCTTTGGAAAACAACCATGAACACGTCAGCACCGTGACATCTGCAACTACTTGCTAGTGGCCCTCGGACCCATTTAAGAGAAAGAGACTGCCAGTCTTTCTCCTTAAATGATGTACACATAGACAGTTATTTTTAATCCTATTACAAATGTCTTTTATCTTTATCTAGTACTACGTGGAAAGGGTTTGCATCATAGAATTTTTTCCCAGCCTTATAATATACCATAAGCTCCTACTTTACTTTCCCAGCTCTAATCAGTCTATTTGCAGAAGCTCTTTGGTAAAGCTGCCTCGTTGAAAGGAAAATGAACCAAGCCTGCATGTAGGTGGTATGAGAAAACCAGAGCCAACACGGCTGTGGCAGGTTTCCATCTTGAGGAGGGGGAGTTTTTAAGAAGAAATATTGCAGAGGCCTTGCCCAAGAACTGACTTTTCTTGTAGAGGCATCCCGGGTGTGTACCCCTCCCTGGCTGGGCACAGCGGTTACAACCCTGCGGCCTTGTGGAAGAGACCACTGCTCTGAGCCTTGGGGACAAGTTCAGGCGGTGGCCCGTTGAGCAAAGACTGTTGGGATGACTTCGGTGCCCAGCTGTGAGTCCCACAGAACACCAAGGCCGCTCAGCACCAAGAGAGCCGACTGGTATGCAGACAGCCTCAAGTTTCTGTAACTCTACACTTGTGTGCGGCCTCTGGCCTCTCACCGAGGCTCTTTGAGAAGGAATCAGAGTTCAGAATTCAGAGTCTTAAGTGACCTAAATGAGAGGGTCTTCGATATGGGGTTGGATTCAATTCAATGTGATTCTTTTTCCCTTTAAACTTTATTCAGGTTTGGACTGGTTTCTTTCTGGTGGATCACAGCTGCCCAGATGTTGCGATTGTTCTTAGGTTTCTGTAGACAAAGTATTTTCCCTTCCCCTTCAAGAGTTTTGCCGCCAAAAGAAAACATTTGAACTCTGTGCCCCTTCTTGATTGTGGCTCACCAGTGTTGGCATATAAGTCCTTAGTGTCGTAGCTCCCAGCCCTCCAATACTATATCAAACACTGTTATGCACATAAATGCAGCACTGTGATCTAATTTAAATAATACTTTTTTATTATTTATACTACTATATATAATATACATCAACACTTTTGCTATGTAACCTAAGTGATAACCCTCTTTTAGTTACCTGCCAAACTCTGGACTTTGGTTTATATCGCAGTTAACACAGTTACCAAGCTGTAATGGTGTCTTTTTTTTTCCCCCTTTGTAACGGAATGTGTGAATCAAAGTATATGCATTGTGTGGTGTTCCTGTTTCTGGAGCTTCATGAGATTAACACGTCGCATTCAGTGTTCTGTATAGATCTGCTACCTTCGTGAATTCACCTGTCAACCCCTGTCCGTGGAGAGCGCACCAGCCACAGTGGCCAGCTCCTTGTGTTCTCTCTCTCTCGGACCGGTTACTCTTTGAATTAAGCACAGATCCGTCAGCCCGGTTGCTCTATCATGAATGATGTATGTGACCTTGCATTTCTTCCACAGTTCAGCAAACAAGTGCTAGCTTCACTGACCAAAAATTAAGGAAGGAAAATACAATTTGTCAACCAATCTGTCTTTCAACGGCTGAAACTCAACGTGTCTATGGTGCTGCGTCTTGCTGTTGGACTTTTTGAAATCAGACCCCTGGGGAAAAAAATCCCTTCTGACTTCCTGTAACGTGCTCCCAAGGACCCTTCCTGTTTGTTTCGTTGGCGTTGAAATCAAGACTCTTTCTTTGGAATATATACAAATATGTCCTCCACTGTATTTCATTTGCAAAAGTTGAGAACAGCCTTCTCTACCTTTTGCAAAGAATTGATATTCCATATTGGATTCGCAAAGACTTCGATATGGTGAACCTATCAAACCTAGAAATTATACTTCATCCTCTCGTTACTGCGGCCTAAGTTCCCCCACCCCACCCCCTTTTGTAGATGAGACTTAGCACACTTTCAGTTATTGAAACATCCAACATGTCTTGAGTTTGCCTGTTGAGGTCATCTAAACTCACAGCTGATTCAGTCACCCAGTCTCATACTGTGTCATTCACACTCACTACTTACACTGCCATGGTGAAAGTGTGGTGGAAACAAGTATTCATGTGTGTCTGGGAAACATTATACACTTAGACTTTTTTGTTTAATATATTCTGATTCTGTAACATTTCTGAGTTGTGTTTTTGTTTTACAGAAGAAGGAAAAAAAAATACAGTGA